TTTCAGAACTTGCATCCTATCGAGTTGAACAACTTAAGTTCTGGCTTTCTTGTCGTGGTGACTCATTGAAGAATCTCCCTACAAAAGCTGCTTGTATACAAAGGTCAGTTTTTAGCTGTACATGGAATATAATGATCTTAATGTTCTACATCTAAAATTSTTCTTCCAACAGGATTAATAACTACGTAAAAAATGGTCTAAAAGATAAGATCACTGACCCCACTCCACTTAACATTTACTCGAAGACCAAAAGTTTAAAGAGGGATCACAATCCTGAGACAAGTCACGATAATTTAGTTTCTTCTCCATCTTCTGATGCTCAGTACATGAAAGGTAACTTACTTTTTAATCGACTTGTCAGTTTTGTATTGATTAACCGATCTATATTAATTGTATTTGTTTACCACTCTGTAGGAAATTATTGGATGACTAATAGTAAACAACTGCAATGGTCTAAATCTCTGCAACATGCACCAATTTTCACTATAAAAGAGAATAAAAGAATTTTTCAGCTCATCTGGAAAAACAGGAAAGACCCAGAAAAGAGCCGAAAATCTGTTATTTGATAACTTTCTGGACAGTGTTGAATGTGGTCATGACATCGAATACTTTTACATTAGAGCTGTATGCAGTGCATCATACACAAAATCCCAGTTTCACAAATTAAGTTGCTGTCTGTCAATAAAGACTGCTCAAGTTATTTATGCTTACTGTACCTGCAAAGCTGGAAAAGGAGGGTTTTGTAATCATGTTTATGGACTTCTTAAATTACTGGCCCAATTTGTACTTGATAAGTCAGACAGTATACCCCTTCAGCTGCCTTGCACATCAAGACCGTGTGGATGGACAGTGCCCAAAGTAAGAAAAATGAATGTACAAAAACCCACCGTAATGGAAGCTGTAATCAAAAAGCCTAAACTTGGACGAAATAGAAGTGGAATACAATGTAACCTATATGAAGCCAGATCAGTTGAACAACAAAATCTGAATTTTGATGATTTAAATGAGATGAAAGAGAACTTATCACATCTTGATCCTAATATTCCTATTATTAATGTTATACGAAACACCATTTCAGACTCTGAGTGGACAGACACCAAATTTGGCAAAGTACCAATTTATTCACCACTAGCCTATCAGTGTAGCAAATTTGGAAACAACTTTAATGTTTATTTGAATATTGACAATCTTATTTCTTTGAGCTCTACACATTCCACTGATTATCCTCTTTTTCCACATAAAGTTCTTCCACAGTACTACCCTATTGATGAATCTGACCTTACTTTACAAGAACAGACTCTTTTGAAAAAGCTTGAACTACTAAATGGTGATGCTGTAATACTTGAAGAAGCAACCAGGCAACAATCAGCAGTACCGCTTTGGTTTGACCAAAGGAAACAGAGAGTTACTGCATCAGCAATCTATGATGTTGCTCAATGGAAGAGAGGGTTTGACAATCATGCTCATAAATTTGTTTCTGGGTCTATTGATGAGATTGGCCCCTTTCTGCAAAGAAAGTTGGATCATGGCAAAATGTATGAGGCAGTAGCCCTACAAAAATACCATACATGTATGCAAGATTATAATAACAATGTTCATATTTACCCGTGTGGACTTGTAGTAAACGAAAACAACTGCTGGTTGGGTTGTACTCCTGATGGAAAAGTAGTGTTTGGTGATCTGTTTGGAATTGCAGAGTGTAAATGCCCAGAACAGTACAAAAATTCAGATATTTTTGATGTTGCTGGCGATCAATCAAACAACTTTATGCTTTATGTTCAAGATGGTCGATTATRTATGAAGAAAACTCATAGATATTATTATCAAATACAATGTCAGCTTGCTTTGACAGGTGCCGCCTTTTGTGACTTAATTGTATATACTTTCAAAAGCATTGCTATTGTCAGAATTCTATTTGACCAAGATTTTTGGACAGATGTTGTACATGTAGTTGGACAGCGGTATTTTCAGCATATACTTCCAAAACTGGCAGAGTCTCAATTTTAGTTAACTACTAGACAGCATTACCTACTAGCTAATGTCACATGRTACATGACATCGTGGCAAATGATTGACAGGTCAGATCAACAAAGTTATTACATGTTTTCCCATAAGTCATATAATTTATATGATGTCAAAAGCAACCTCGATTGACAGATTTTGTATCAACATTGTTATCAGTAAGTCATTGTCATTTGCTTTTTTAGTCTGATATGACCAGACATCTTATATACATATTTTTACTAAAATTAAGTCAAGATAATTGTAAATCTTGTCAAGATAATTTGATCAAGATGAAATCTGTATAAGAACTATAACCTTGCAGGTTACAGTGTGAATTTTTTTGTTTATTCAGGAATGTTAACTATTATAATATATTTAAAAATTATAATAATAATAATCTTTAATAGTATCAATTTGCAAACATAATTTGAAAAGCTTGATATTTACAGTATTCAATTAAAAAATACATATATACAATACAATAACAATAAATAATTGATTAAAAAAAGATATATACAATATAATAACAATAAAAAATTATTTACAGTTTATCAGACAGATAGTATCAATTTGCAAACATAATTTGAAAAGCTTGATATTTACAATATTTGATTAAAAAATACATATATACAATATAATAGCAATAAATAATTGATTAAAAAAAAGATATATACAATATAATAACAATAAAAAAATATTTACAGTTTGTCAGACAGAAATTATTGGATTTTGAAACATAACTAAAAATGCACATGTAGTAAATATTTGATTAGCAGATCCATGCATGCTGAGTGGTAATGGCCTATCAAAAATATGAAAATTCTTTATTCTACTTATGAAACGTTCTACATGAATCCTTAAGGATGATATTCTCTGGTTGATGATAACTTCATTAGGTGAAAATTGTTCCTTGTCTTCTAAAAATACTGGGATATTCAATTTCACATCTATCTCATCCAACAAATCTCTGATGTTAAACCCTTTATCAGCCATCACTTCATCTCCCTTGCACCAGAATGCCGGGTTAAGGATGCCGCACCTTGAAACAATTTCCCTGTCAGAAATACTGCCAGGAAAAAGTTCAGAAATAAATGATAGTCCACCTGCTGGTGTTATTCCTATAAGAGCCTTGTAGGTATTGTGATGCTTGTAATCGGAATAAAAAACTGCCCTCATATGTAGTGATTCAGGTGCTTCTACTTCAACCTCGGTGCAGTCTAAGATGACTCTTGTCTTGGGGAACCTCTCTTTGAATATCTTAGGCATATTTTGGTCTATTTTCTCCCTCGAAGGCCATATTGGTATTGTGCAGAATTTCAAGTAGATGTAGTTCTGCCAACTAGATACAATTCTAGAAATAGTTGTGGCATCACACTTAAACAGCCATCCCAGGTGATCATTGGAAAACCCAGTTCGAATTTTCATTAACATCACCATAAACTGGTCCTCTACACCTAATGTTCTTGGTCGTCCACCGGCTCCTTTCTTTTCAGTTGAACCTCTACCTATGACATTCTCACCTTTGTCTCCAACAGATAGATATTTCAAACATGCTTTTAATCTACTGTAATCAGTAAAACTGGTGTATTGTTGACATAAATCATTTTTTTCTTTAATTACTTGTATACCAAATGTCCTTTTTTCTAGTTTATTTTTAGTATCTTTCAGTTCTTCTTCAAGTTTAACTAGCTTGGTTTTAGTCATTGTGAACTCATTAACTATTGTCTTATAAACACAGTTGACCATTGTCAAAGCACAGCTAACTAGAGACTTAGGTTGATGAACAGGTCGATTAACTTCTAGGTTGTTGACGTCTTTGTTGCTTCTTGTGGGTTTGGGCTTTTTAATATCAAATAGATCCCTTCTCATTGCTGGTGGCTTTCGTTTCTTGTTGATAGCTTCTTCGTGCCCTACTTTCAAGGGGACGGCACCTTGTTTTAATCGCCAGCGTTTTCCTCCAGGTACTCTTAAAATGTCGTCCTTCTTAAAATGTTCATGACATACTTTAGTGTTTCTATTGCAGACAAAGCCATCTTTTCCATCAATTTTACCCATTCGGTTGCACCAAATACTCTTGAGTGGATTCTTTTGGGGAGTTTGAAAGAAATGGATTGAAAGTTTCTGTCCATCTGTACCATAGCATCGATTTGTACAATTATAATAGGAGCACTGAATGCCTTGCGATCTTTGATGTTTTGGAGTTACGTTTTCTTTTCCTTTAATTTGAGTAATGAAAACAATTTATCAATAAGTTCATTCTCTGTTAACGGAAAAAACCAAAATAATTGTGAATCTAATGACAGTCCACTGCAGGTGTGAGTTGTAACTTTATCGCGCCGAAATTATGTAAACATGGATACATTTTATCGATGTGAAAAAGCGAAAACCGAAAAAAACAATGATTTCAATACAAGAAAAACATCTCATTTAAGCAGTACATGTGGATGAAATATGTATAATATTCAAGAATGATCAAATAATCGACTTACCTTGGCTTGGATGGCTGTTTTCGTCCATAATTGTATCGAGTCAGTTTCGGACGAGTCGCCGAGAAAAATTGAAAAAATCCTAAGAAAAGTTCTAAAAATTGCAAATTGAACTACCTAACCAAGAATTATATAAGACACTAGATAATTAAAAGGTATCAAAAGCTATCTAAACGATTGAAATAATTGAAAAAAACGACTATGAACAGCGATGTGACAGCGACAGGCTCAACACTTAGTTACGTAATATTTTTGTTTGTTTACATATTAAGCCTCGTTTCTGTGCAGCGCGCGCTGACGTGCCTTGAGTTTGTCATTCGGTCTATAC